AAAAAAAAAAAAAAAAAAAAACGCAGGCTGACGCAGGCCTGTGTCGCCTTGGTCTGATACTGCAGGGTCAGTTCCCCAGCTTCCTTTGAGATGTTGAACTTCCTGCCTCAAGCACCATCCCTACTTAAAGGATCATGGGACNNAGTAAGTAGGGGTTATAACTAAGGTAACTATAATTATAACCCCAATTAGGAGACGTATAACCATACTTATACTAAGGTAACTATAATTATAACCCCAATTAGGGGACTTATAACCATACTTATAACTAAGGTAACTATAATTATAACCCCAATTAGGGGACTTATAACCATACTTACTAAGTCCCATGATCCTCCAAGTAGCAGTCTCAAGATTCCAAGCAGACATCTCCAATTCTCTCGTGTCGGAGCACGAACTTCAGCCAAGGCGCGCATGGCTGCCTCAAAGAGAGGCGTCTAAGCTTGGAGGGTGGGGCACATGGCGACCCAGATCTGCATGACACGCGGCATGGCATCGCATTCGTAAAACTGCGTTAGTTTACGTAGCTTAGTTGATTAGCTGGCTAGCTAGCGAGCTAGCTGGTTAATTTAGCTGGTAAGTTGGCCAGTTTGCCGGCTGGCTCGCTGGCTCGTTGGCTGTTTGGTCGGTCGGTCGTTCGGTCGGTTGCTTCTTTCGCTCGTTGGTGGGCTGGTTGGCCGGTTGGCTGTATGGCTGGTTGGCTGGCGGCTCAGCGGTTGGGCGGCTGGACTGCTGGACGGCTAAAATGCTGGTTGGCTATTGTTGTTGCTTTGTTAGTTCGTTAGTTAGCTCGTTCGTTCTTTGCAAGTCAGTAGGTACGCAGGCCGTCATGTAGGACACACACACACATCTACATACGTACATACATACGTGCATGCATGCATGAATGCATGCATACGCACCTACCTACCTCCGTGAAAAGGCCTACATCTGCCTACATCTACCTGCCTACCTACCTACCTACCTACCTACCTACCTACCTACCTACCTACCTACCTACCTACCTAACCATTATAAACGCATTTTTACATCCATCCATCCATCCATCCATCCATCCATGCATGCAGGCCTCTGGCATAGGTGTGCTGGCACTTTCTGCATGCTGAATTCCCGTATAAATACTGAACCCCAAACCCTAAACCCTAAACCCTATAATCCTAAACCCGAAACCATAAACCCTAAACCCTAAACCCTAAACCCTCTACACCCAGAGACTCCAATATTCCTTAATTAAGGAATATTCCTTAAATTATAGTAGGATCCTTAATATGATTTAAAGTATATTCCTTAATTAAGGGATATTGGAGTCTCTGGGCACGAGCATCACCCGCTCTTTTCTTCTATCCCGGCTCATCCCTCGCCTGCTGCAGCGCCAGAAGCTGCTCGTCGTGGCGTCGATCGACTTCCATCTCTTGCTTCAGAAGCTCCTGGAAACCGAAACCCTCAAACCCCAAACCCTGAACCCTAGACCCCAAACCCGAAACCCTATAAACCCTACACCCTGAACCAAACTTGGAGGTTGATGGGTAGTTATAAGTAGGGTTATAAGTCCCCTAATATGGGTTATAACTATGGCTAGCTTACTCAAAACTCCACTTATAACTACCCATGAACCTCCAAGCTGGCGAATCGGAGAATCTACCTCTTCGGGTCGCAGGGCCTGTGGATCGCATAAGTTCAGTGCCGTACGGACTATATCGAGGCGAAGAACGCTGGGGATACTGCTGGTGACCCATGAGTCTTAGCATTTCTGTGATTTCAATTGAGCGGTTATCAAAACCTCTTTTCAATCCGTTGACACTATCAACCCCTTCCGCGTTAGTTTAGGGTGCGCGCAGCTTCCGCGGAGCCAACTGTCCCTTATGCGCGGGCCCTTGGGTCAGCTCTTAAGCTTTAAGCCTTCCGCGCGCACTTCCGCATTTCAGGTGTTTACGCCCACCCCTTCCGCAAGATACCCTTGCGCACACCCCTTCCGCGCATCGGTTTTTAAAGCTACCGGTCCGCAGGCCTTCCCCGCATGCGACTGTAGCTTCAACCCTAAACCCTAAACCCCTAGACCCTAAACCTAAACCCTGCCGCTGATTCTACTGCTCGCACCTGGTCAATCGTCGCACGTGCCTGCCTGGCATCTCACAGGCATGAGCTTGCGATGAAGCCTTGTGGAAAACCACGCACCCGGCCTCTTGCACTGGTCGTTCTTCGCCCGAAGGTACTCCAAGTTGGCCTCACAGTGGGAGTTTCAGAAAATAGGGGACCCTGATATAGGACCCTAAATAGTAGGATCCTTACTATAACGACCCCTAGTTTTCTGAAGCTACCAGTCAGTGGATCGGCGCTGGGTTTCGGTGCCCAGCCTGATGCCGCTGCGTCAACGTCGCCACACGCTGGCGAACCTGCTCCTCAAGCACACAGGGCTTCTGGAACTGGAGCATCAAAATTCCCAGAGACTCCAATATCCCTTAATTATAAGGAATATACCTTAAATCATATTAAGGATCCTACTATAATTTAAGGAATATTCCTTAATTAAGGAATATTGGGTTCTCTGGGTTCTGCACAGCAAGCTTGGTCCTGCAAGGCTTTGAGATACTCCTGCTTCCTGGCAGCATGTGGACGCTCTCAGTTGCTGGCCTGGCACACTTGGAGGATCATGGGACT